TCAAACCTGCCCTGGGGCTAGTAGAGCTTCCTAAGTGGTGAGTCCTGTGCTGGATTATAGATATTCCTTGATGTTGATCACCTTAGCCCTCTGAGAGAGACTCAAGACAGCTGCAGCTCCAGGACTGGTCATTTTCAGAAGCAAGTAGCCTTATCCATTTATCCCAGCGAGAGACAACAAATAAAAATGTTTCATGTGCCCCATTATCATAATTTTAAAATACATTAAAATATTCTTTTTAGTACTCTTTGTTCAAAATGCAGAGCCTATTTTCCTTCGTTTGAATATGGGCTGATCTTGAAGACTTGCTTCTTTTTTTTTTTTTTTTTTTGAGATATAGTCTCTGTGGCCCTGCGTAGAGCACTGTGGCATCATAGCTCACAGCAACCTCAAACTCCTGGGCTCAAGCGATCCTCTTGGGACAATAGATGCCCACCACAATGCCTGGTTAGTTTTTCTATTTTAGTAGAGATGGGGTTTCACTCTTGCTCAGGGTGATCTCAAACTCCTGAGTTCAAACAATCCACTTGCCTTGGTCTCCCAGAGTGAAGACTGGCTTCTAAAAAAATAGAATATGGACATGAGGGTGTGTAGCTCCTGAGGGTAGGTTATAAAAGTCCTTGCCACTTTTGTCTTGCTTCTCTGCATCACGTAACCTAGGGGAAATCAGCTTCCATCATATGGAAGCACCACATGGAGAAGGCCTCTATCTTCTGTCAACAGCCTGCACTAACTTTCCATGATATGAATAAGCCATCAGAATAGGATCCTTTAGACTCAGTCAAGCCTTCGGATAATGGCAGCTCTGACCTTGTTTAGCTGGCCCCGGCTGGGTTTGAAATCACCACCCTCCGCGTATGTGGCCGGCACCCTGCCGACTGAGCTACTAAGGGTGCGCCCATCTTGACCTTTTGTAAGATCTCAAGTCAGACTGCCCAGCTAAGACCTTCTTGAATTCTTAACCCACAGGAACTGGTAGGATATTATATTTACTGTTGTTTTCTTTAATTGTTTATTGTTGCTTAAAGCTGATGCCTTTGAGGCTCTTTGTTATGCCTCAACAGATAACATTGTACCCAGGATGTGAAAAAAATGGGGAAACATTTCCTTAACCTCCAAAAAGAATACACATGATAGTCACAACCTGGATGTACCCAGAATTCTGGGAATGTATTTAGAAACCTTAGGTTTTTTTTTTTT